GTCAGAAAATGGAAATGTTTCCATTTAGGGCAATAGACGTATCCAAAAGAAAACATCTTACAGGTTTTTTCCAATTGTTTATCAAGTTGAAAATTGCAAATGAGGAGAAAATAAAAATGCTTTGGGTATCCTGGATTAGTAATACTCCAGTATTTTCAGGTTTGTATCCATTGTGGAGTCATTTTGGACAGTTACATCTTCATTTCAATTTACACACACAACTAACTTTTGTTGAGAAGTCTAGCGTTGTCTGAGAGCGCTTAGTGCCCAGGTATATGTTAATTACAAAACCTCTTATTTTTTTTTTTAGTGATACCAGGAACAACATAGACACCTAAAAGTTACACTATCTCCAAGTTGGAGCTGTCCAGGAGTCCATCTACATGGTAAGATTTGCAAGATTAGGATTGCTAATTTTTAGAAGCTTCAGAATTAAAGAGCTGCATACACAAAAAAGTAGGTTTTTCAGTTTTTAAAATTAGAGTATCTACTTATAGTACAAACATATGTAACTTAAAAAAAATTCTCTGTCTAGATTTTGAACTCACCTAAATTGTTTATATATATTTTTAAAAGAAATACATAATTAGAACCATCTTTATTATTTAGTGGCATAAGACCTAACAAACTTTTGTTTTGTTATTGACACTTGCAGAACAACAGCCAGAGATTTAGCAAAGTGAGGACAGAAGGTATGTGCAGTATCAGGGAGAAGCATGTGGAATACAAACACAGGAAGGAGACAAGAAAAGCAGAGGTCTGGATAATGGTAAAGCAACGCATATGGAGAGTCAGCTTGAGAAGAACAGTCACATATGCCAAAAATAATTCACTAGCTACATTTAGTTAGAAGATCTAGGGAGCAAACATAAGCATCCTAAACAACTGCAGTAGGTTAGCCAGAGTGTCTGCTGGCCCCAGGGTCACATATTCCTGCTCCAACTGCCAGCAGCATCCCTTTGGAATGAGGAGCTTTCCAAGTGCTGGCCTGTGCTGGCTGTGGAGAGAAAACTGTCTGCTCTTTTCCTTTTCTCATGATTTCTTATGAAATGTATACTGCAATGTAAAGCCCTGTCCGAAGTACCTGAGCCAGCTGATCTGTGCAGAATGTGCTGATCTGCAGAATTGTTTGGTTGTGTTCTAGAAACAAAAATATAGTGTTGGCCTGCTCCTGCAAATGAACATATCTTTGTATGACCAATATTTTTCTTTTAATTATAAATAATACTTTCATTTTAATATATAGAAAGGCTGCTAAAACCTTACTGTCCTGTGCATATTTTGCAGAAGGGTTTTCTTCTGTTCTCATTAATGGGATCATTTGCTGTTGGCATTGCTTTCACAGTGTCAGCTCCTAAGTTTGTTGTGTGACATCTGTAAAAAAATGAAATGGATGATATTTGGGACCAATTTCACCAAGTGTTCTAGCCCTTTGGGTTTCACTCTGGAACACTATGTTTTATATTATTTCATTTGCTTGGGTCAAAAGTTAAGAATCAGTGTCAATTGAGTTTAATAATCCCCATTTTTTTGTAGAATTGTCAAACTAGATGAATCTGAACCTGCTTTATTTTGAAGGCTTTCTACAAGTTTGCTCTTGTAGAGTGGGCTATTGGCCAACTGTTCTTTCAAATGGCATAATTTTCGTAGAAGACCATCTTTCCCAAATGCTTGTTTTTTAAACAATGATTTTCAAGTATGTTTTCTTCCTGTGACCAAAAACCACAACCTATTACCACAATTTTGATGACTAACATTAAAACTAGGTAATCTGCACTGTCATGACATACAGATAATCCTTACAGACCATTAATAGATATCACATCATATCTGAGAGTCTTGGTCACGGTTGTTTGTATTGCTCTTGTCCTGGATCAGGTGAGTACATCCAAAGTCTCCTTCTAATGCCTTGTGTTGAAATGTATTGTGTGATAAGCTGATTCACAGTAATTTATCTTTTCCTCAATGCCGAAATACTGAAAAAAAAAGTGCTTTAATAATGTAGTCAGCATGGCCCAGAATCAAATACAATAGAATTTTATTGCAAATTCATCTTTCCTCCTTTTTTGATGTTTTCTTTTATGGCAATAACCACCAAAGACCCAGATTGTATTTCAACACAGTTATTATTTTAAGAGACATTCAAATGGATGTGGATGCAGTTGGATTCAAATTCCAAGTAATTTCAAATGCTAAGATGCCTCTAGATAATTTTAAAAATACTTCTAGTTTTTATTTTGTTGGAAACCTAATACTTTGTGTGGCTGCTACTGCAGTTTCAGCTGTTACAAGTAAGATGATTTGTTCATTGCAAACCAAACACCTATGAGGTTGTTTGCCATATCTTTAGATTGAATTTCTGATGACAGTGTTTTTCCCATAGTATTAGCCACATTGAAATGCGAGTGAATTATACATTTAATCTTTTATCCAAGACTCCATCTTGTTTGAATTTCGCAGCACCAGTTTTCAAGCACAGCTCTCCCATGTAAGTAGGCAATGCATGCTTTCTAGCCACTACCTTGATCTGAGCCCAGTTAGGAGTTCTCAGTTTGTACAAATTCCACTGTCCGTTTTAGCACACCTGATTCAGTAAATGTTGGGGCCATTATGAAGTCCTCTCATACACTTTAATGTTTCCTGAGTAATGGAACTGCAATTGTTGTTTAAATACCCAGACATCTAGATCTTTTGCCCTGAAGGCCCCCTCTGTGAAGCATTTTTCACTCTGCCTTTGTGGTACTATGCCTTAGCATATATTCTACTTCTAACAACTTTAACAGAGGCTTTTTTTTTAAATCATATCAGCATTTATCTGAACCACTTCCCATTTTTTTGGTGGTATTTCCCATTTCATAGACTAAATCACTAACTTTGCATAAAACTAAGGATTATCACCCAGCAAACTACAATCCTTTTTTCCCATGAGATATAACTGTGATTATAAAGCCTTCTAGACATTCCTTAGCCTCTGTGTATTACTGGCTACAACTTTTACTTGTATCTGAACTGAATACCAGTGTCTTTTAGGGTACCTCCACCAAGTCATCAACACCCAGACTAAGCAAGTTGGCTTCATTAATTGGGTTTTCCACAGGGCCTTTCCCACTTGCAAATTTTTGTACCACTTCAGCAGAGACAACATGGCTGCTATCCTTGGGCTACAAGCAGGGTTTTTTTTTTAAAGAAGTTGTAGACATACAGCCTTACTGAAGGTCTTTATCTAATCCAATTTTACAGCTAACAGCCACAGCAACTCCATAATCCATTCATTCCCCTCCACAGAAATTTATCTCAAACTCCTTCCTTCTTTGCTCTGGTCCAGCCATTCCTAAAGCTGAAGATTAGGCAAAGCTGCCTTTTCTCCCTAATTCTATAGTACAATGAGAGCTTATGTTAATTCCTTTTATGGAGCTTCAGTATCCTAGTTTAGGCTGTATCTATCTCCTCACCTGAGGTGTCTACAAACGTGTCACTAACTTAAGCCATAACTAATTTGGCCCTGACAGTTAACATCATGCTGCCAGTTTCAATTAGGGAGAAGAAACAACTGCTGAAATCAGGTGTTTGTGGTGTAATCATGTTTACTTGTAAGTAGGCCAAAACTGCTCTTTCCCTAGACACAGGTAGCACCAGATAACGTGGTGATGGCAGGCTTCTCTCAAACATTACCAAAAACCTGAAGGACTTCACCTAACGGTTTGTGTTACAGAGAAAAGGTTGACTGGTGCTCTCCTCTTGGCTTTCCCTTCTGCCTCTTCTCTACAGAGGGTCCTTTGTCAAGTAACAGCCAGATCCTTAACTCATCAATGTGTTTGTCTTTACACTTTGTTTCTTAGTGGTATAATATTTTTTCTAATGGGAACAGTGATTCCTTTCTCCTAAATTACAGTGGGACAACCAGTATGAAAGTTCTTTTCTTTTTTGCTATTCTAAAGAAGTAACTCTAACGCCTTCTGAAAATTTCTTTCCCTCTCAACCCAATCAAAATGCAGTGAGCATGACAGTGAGTAACAGAGAGCCCTGCTGCAGCCAGCAAAGCTTATCTCTGAACTGCTCCCCAGGCTCCTGCATAAGTTTCAGCTGAATCATAACTCCCAAGTAGCCTTACCAGGATGAAGCAGCATTATCATAGAGTTTATCTTCTCCAGAATCTAAGCATCGATTGGAATTGCTCTACCATGAAGGCAGAATCACATCTCTAATTTATATCAACACAGTCCTGATACAGAGTCATATTTCAGGATATAATCCAGAAATCCTTCATATAACAACCGACCAAACAACTAAAACATCCCTTCAGCAGAGCTCTTCCTAGTCTATCAGCTCTTCTGAGTGAGACCATCCTGAGGAACCCTGAGCAGCACTACTGCAGGCATGGAGTCACACTACTAAATGTGTTTCTTCTGGTGCACAGCACCAGCCAGGTGTGTTCTAGGCTGCTGCAAGAGCTTTCATGTTTTAAGAGCTATAATTAAATTACCACCTACAATAATGGACCTGAGGTTAATGAGCTCAGACAGAGATGCTACGTTGAACCACAAGAAACGAGACAGACCCATAACAAGACATTTTCAGCTTTATTAAAAATAAGACAGATGAAACCAGGCAGCTGACGGGCCTTTTGGTGCCAGGGCTGTGCTCCCCGCAATCTGGGTACCCCGTGGGTGCTCTCCAGCGGCAGGGTGCTCCCCGCAATCTCGGTACCCCGTGGGTGCTCTCCAGCGGCAGGGTGCTCCCCGCAGCCTGGGTGCCCTGTGGGTGCTCTCCGCCGGAGCCGTGCCCTTACCGGGCCAGCGCAGCCCCCGCCGCTGTCTCCATGCGACAGCGCAGCGTGGGCGTCTTGCAGCGCCCTCATTTGCATATCGCCGCGAGCGGCCAATGGGCGGGCGGCGCTGCCGCTGGTATTTGCATGTGGCCGGGCGGCGGCCAATGGGGCGGCGGCGGCCGGGCGCGCGGAGGGCGATGCTGCCGGCGGCGCGCGGGCGGCGCAGCGCGAGGCCGGGCCGGGCGCGGGGACCTGCCGGGCGCGGGCGGCCCTGGGCCCGGGCGGCCGCGGCGCAGCGGCGGCGGGACCATGTCGGTGGCGGGGCTCAAGAAGCAGTTCCACAAAGCCAGCCAGGTAGGGCGGCGACGCTGGGCCCGGGCGGACTTTGCTGTCATAGGCGGTTCGCCTAGCGCCCGCTCCCGTGCGGGGCGGCGAGTCCTTCCTCCGTCTGTAGCAGCATCACCCCGGCACCTCCGGGGAGTGTTTCCTTCAGCGCTACCTCCGGGTCTTGTGCTTGTGTTTTTGCCTGTCAGCTTCCTGTGCTGTCCTCACAAGAGGTTGCCCGTTCCATTATTCTGCTGGGGGCTTCAGGTCTTTCCTTTAGTTATTAACATTTATTATTTAGCGATGGGTTCAGGTTTGTGTTTTGAGGCCTTAGTTAAAGCTCCAGCCTGTATAATGCCAGCTTTCCCCTAAAGAGTTCATTGTTTTGATCTTCCACGATTTGCTGGTTTATTATCCTACCTGGAATGCCATGTACTTGCCCTGTAGAGAGTATCAGACGTTTCTAGAGTTTTTCCTCCTTTTCTAGATGTGTACTCTATCTTCCCTAGCATGAATCTTCATGTTCTTGTGACCTCTTCATCGCTTTTCTTTTTTGTATGTGCTTTGCTTTATTAGTTCAGCTCGTTTCTTTTCGGGCAGAAACGCCCTTGTGCCAAGCAGGTAAAGTGGTTGAATTCCATGGCAGGATGGTGCCAGGATGATGCTTGCATTGTTATGGGGGCTTCAGGATGTGTCTGCAGTGGGATTCTTCCACTGAAGGTTTTTGTAAGTCTCAGCTGCTTTGCTTGCTCATTCCAAGTCAAAGAGCTCTATATTTCTGCTGGCTGTCATTGATGATAATGGTAATATCGAAATTAGTGCCTGTAACCTATTCAGTACAATCCAACAACTGCTCTTGCCTTGGTGAGAGTGAAGGAAATAAAGGTTCATTGAGTGCTTGGCTGTCATCTTTCTAGGTCTTCCTTCAGCTGTGCAGCTTGTCAGCAGCCCAAGTGCAGATTCTGCACTCTGTTTGGATACAGAGATGCTAAATATTTGTATCTAATGTTTCAGTAGTGTTCTCTCTTTCACGGAATGTACTGATCCTGAAAAATGTTGTGAACTGGTATCTTTTAGTTAACTTTCACTGTTCCTTTGAGAAACTGCTGGGTCTGTAGAGTAAACAAATGCAAGGACAATTTATTAAATTTTTTGGCGTGTTTTGCATCTGATATGCTGGTAAGTGATGCAGCCTTTGCTGTAGTGAGCTTGTAACTCAGGAAGCAGAAGATACTTAACTGAGGAAGTTCAGGAGGTAACCACAGCAAGAACCCTCTTGTCTAGCAACTGGTAACACTGCAGGTTACTTCATCCTGCCCAGATGTCGAGTAAACAAACAAACAAACAAAAGGATGGATGAGATCTCATAAAGGTAGTAGTAATGGTAGAAAGGAGATGTAGAATATATTGAATTTGACTGCATTTATTGGAAAGTAATTGTATGACTTCCAGTATCCAATACAGTAAGGAACTGCAATGTATAACTCATAAGAATATTCTTCTCAGGGTGGGTCAAAGGTAAAATTTCAACTTATTTTCAAATGCAGAACTGAGCAAGAAATTTTAAATCAGTAGATTGAAAAAGTCTGTTATAGAAATGTGTTTACTAGGAAATTAAATTTCAAGAATAAGATACTGGATTTTGTTGGGGTTTTTTTTTTTTGGTACATAAGGTAACATAAGAGACTTCTTAAGACCTCATTCTGTAAGAATTCAGGTAAGATGCTGGACAAAATAGTAGTGGGAAAATAGAAGAAGAAATAGCATATATATATATAGTGGATCAAAACAGCCATGTCTAAACAATGAAAGTGCTTATCTCAGACACACAGAGACACAGTCATGCCTAGATGTATAAAGTTCTTGAACTAACGAAAATAAGGTGGTACGTGGAAAATGGAAATATTGGGATTCCATCTTTTAGAAGAATTATTTTACAAAATGCCAAAGCAAGCAAATGCAGAGTGTGAGAGGTATTTCTCTAGAGAAGATTTGTTGAATTTCCAAGTACTGTGGGAACACTTCAGGAGACACAGACCTTTGTGTATTGAGTGGATGAAAGATGCCAGTGGTAACTGTTAACAGCAGAGACAGGCATTGCTTGGAGAAAGAATTAAATTAATTCCTTTAGTGTTCCCAAAGGAGAATGGGGGCAGATGACAAAAACTGGCAAATGTCCCAGAGGACATTGAGGAATACTGGAGGGAGTGGGACTACTGTCAGGCCATGTGATTAAAGAATAATATTTGAAAGCTGACAGAACCTCAGGACGAAACATTGGAAGGCTGAAGCAAGTGTTATAAGACAGTCTGTATTTAACAATTCATTCAGAAATGTGAATACATACCAAAAAAGTGACATGTATACTATTCCCATGCTAAAATAAACTTCTGTTCAATGGAAATAAATTACAATTATAAATTAAATATAGAGTAGTATAGATTTGTAGTTATAAAAAGATTAAGTAAAATAAATTGAGTTTTTCTAAACTCTGTTTGCTTTCAGTGAACCACTGACATTTTTTTTGCGAAAGAACTGCATTTCAGTTTTGTTCTTGTAAAAAGCCTTTGTGCCTATACACCTTTGTGTATAGGCTTAAATTCTAAGTGCAGGAGTCCAGGAAAACAACAATTACTTAGGATTTTATACGTGCAGTTGAGGTTTCTGGGATGTTTATCTGGTGCTTGTCAGCTTGGTTTGGCTGAAGTTACACTTGAGTTAATGAGTGTTTGCTTTATGAAAGGTCAGCAGCTAACTTTATATGGTTACTAATGCCCTTGCCAAAATCAGGCATGATGAGCTATTACAAACTTGGTTAGTGTAGTAAAAAGTCACCATGGGTCTGTCTGTTTGTAATCCAGTATTTCACAAGAATTGTTCAGATGGTTTTCCCCTAGAATTTTTTACCCAATTGGGTTTTTTTTTCCACTGGAAATTGCATGTTTGTTGGTTTTCACTGAAGTGTCAGGCAGTGAGATCTAGAAGACAACTCTTGTGTTATGGTGTTTGTTGAAATTACTGCAGTGAGGTATGTACCCCAGAGGGAGTAGAGTTTGAGCTGTTTTTCTGTACATTGCAATATATAAAGCTGTAGTGCTACTCCTTTATCTTTCCTCTAATGATTGCTTCCCCTGGTGTCATGGAATGGATAGACACGAAGCTTGGATGTATCTCAAAGTTTCTGTGTCTGTTATGTGGTGATAACACCCTTCATCTTATTGCAATTTTCTATACTATGCTTTCTACTTAGGTTATAAGTTTAAATTGAAGTTCTTTAATTGAAAGTGGACTACAGTGAGGATCACTTCCATTCTCTGCATTAAATATCAGTGATGATTCCTTGAGTATAACTCATTTGACTCATGGTATACCAAGCAGAACCTGTGAGGTGTTTTACTACCTCTCACTGGCTGATAAGCAAGGGCAGGCTCTTTATTAATGTGCAACTCCCGTGAAATTCAGCTTTTTTTAAAAACGCATTTTCAAATATAATTTTTTTAATTAAGTTTTGTGGATTTGTTTGCAATGAGAGTTTGTGTCCTGTTGCTTTCTGGCTGCTGCCAGATCTGATCTGTTTTCCTGTTTTCAGTTTGAAAGCTTTGACGTAGGTGTGTGTCTCTCTGCCTGCTGGTTCTGCAGGCCTTGCTCTCGTGGTGGTTGTGCATGTGGGATAACCCAGGTGGTGGGAGGTGCATCTTCTGGTGTGTACTGGGAGTGCTTTCAGAGTTTAGAAAGGCAGGAAGCACAGAGAGTGAACAAGAAAGCCTTAATAGGTGTCGGATGCCTTTCTAGTTTCTGCTGTGCTCTAAAACCACAGCCAGTCTAGGATCCCTGTGTAAAGATGTGTGATTTTTCAAAGTACTTGGAGGCTAGTGCGCTCAGAACCTCCCTTAGGGTGTTTTGAAAGCTCAGGCATGATACTGGCATAGGAAATCTGCTGTTGAGTTTGAATTCGCACTTTTTTTTATATATATATCTTTTAATTAATTGTAGCTGAAGGCTGTGTATAGAAGCAGTTTCACTCTCAACAGCTTGTTCATGTTGTATTTCTTAGGCTTAGTTTCTCAGAGGTAATGGAAAGTAATGCTTTTCTGAGGAAACACAACTGCCAATAGTCACAATTATTGTGAATGTCTTATTTGTAGTGTGGACATCAGCAGCTACTGTAGCCTCTGCAGACTGGATTCTTAAACCTTCTCCTGTTGTCAGTGAAGAGAGGCTCCAAGAGAGGGTGAATCAGGAGCTGGTTCTATTGTCTATAGATAGAGCCTAAGGGGAAGCAGATTTTCTAACCAAAACAACCAAAATCTGTTACTACTTTTTTTCTTTCTGAAAGTAATCTAACCCAGTGTAATAAATATATAAATAATATGCTCTGTGTTTTAATTTCTTATGTATCCTGAATGGTATTTGTCTTTTCAAGTGCTGAAATTTTTAATGCAATTTTGAAATGGCCTTTTTCTGTTTTTTAAACTTTTTTGAACTTTCAGCTATCACCAACAGTTGCAGGGATGCTGCTTCCTATCTCCCAGATTTCTGCTTTTTCTCCATTGATTTATGTGGCATTTTGATCCAATCTGTTGGAGTGAAGACCAGATCAGAATCAAGACCACTTTGTTCCCCAGACAAAATAAGTTGTGTGATTGGATTTTGTTGTTAGGCTATTAGGGGTGGTGGTGGTTTTTTGTTGATTTTTTTTTTTTTTCTCTTGACTATTTTTCATTTCTGTTATGTTTTAGATACTATCCTAGACATAATATTTAAGCCTTTTTAAAAGTCATTGTTGACGTTGAGTTAATACACAAAAAGCTTCAATTACACAAGTGCTTGATAGCAAAGGAAGTACTTTGGTAAACTTTATACAAGGAGAACCTGAACTTGACAGTGAGACATGAAAGGAAGCTTTATTGCCTACATCCAGCTATATTTATTTCCTAGGACTATAAGCTGTTATTATTCAGTCTGTTAGAGATACTGTCCTTTCACAGCCAGTGTGAATTGGGCATGATAAATCCATGACAGTAGTACAG